AATTAGTTTTCGATTATATACTTATTGCCTCAATCAGTTCACAACAACCCCAGTACTTACATTTGAAACTATCGCTTTACTTGGATTCTCTATTGGTCTCTCTCTTACTTTTAGCCAGCAACCCAAAAGAGTTGGTTTGCCTAAATATTAGATGCCTAAAGAATGCCCTCCTCTTGGTTCATATTTTCAGAGTATATGCCCCTTTCTTCTGGTACAACAACTCAGCAATTTGGCTAATGTGTCCTCCACTATAGAACCTGGTCGCTCGGTTCCTCAATCTTAAACCCCAGTTTGAATTCAGCCCTCCTGTAATACTATCAAAGATCACTGTTATATCAAAATTCAGGACTTTCCAAATGGGTTTTTAGTTATACTAGTTCTTCAGATTTATTGCGCCAAAACTCCCATTACTAGATAGTGTGACCAAAGTTACAGGTTTAGTTTTAGATTCAACCAATAAGCATAGCCATCAACCAAACACAGGTCTATTTTTTAAATATTGTCGCTAGTGGAATTTGAACTTTAAACCTGCCACTTGAAGAGAGTGACAACTAAACCACTATATTAAGTTGCCACATCTCTATTTATCTAGGTTTTAATAAATAAACTATTTGTATATTTTTATTATAAAGTTTTATTTTATTATTTAATTTTTTAACTAAATTATTCAATCTTGAATAATTCTTTAATCACCAATACTAATTAATTTTATATAAAGCAGTACAGCTTATAAACAAAACAAAACAGATATATAATTACAAACTGCTAAATTTATCTAAATTTAAAAAAAGTAAATATTGTTAATCTTTTAAAAAAGGCCCACTTGTATAGAAAATTTTGAAAAAGCAATAAAGAACAAAAAAAAAATAACACTACTTGTTTTATTTATTAAAGAGTATATACAGTTAACTCTCTCTAAATGCACACTCCTTAAATGCAGGTCATATTAAATTCTCTCTAAATGCAAGTTTTTTTTTTGTTCCAAATTATAATAAACTTATATTCTCTAAGTGCAGATTCTCTCTAAATGCAAGATTTTTTTTTTTACTTAAGAAAATTTTATAGATCCTAGTGAGCTATATTTAGAGAGAGTTGACTGTATTAATCTTAAAAAAAAAATTTATTAGCTATAACCTTTTTGTGATTAAGCCAAATATATAAATACTTTTTTTTTTTGGTAAATAATAAACTTTAAACTTGTTAGCAAATAGTATATAAGAACTATTTTTAAATAACAAGTGATAAACTTTAAAACTACAATTGTCCTTCTCTACAGTCACATCCTTTATAATCACTAACTCTATATAATCACACAGATTTTTACTACAAATTTTTTACTTATAAAAATCCCTATATAAAGTTACAAATCATCTATAATCACTATCATATTTTTATATCATAAGTAAAGAAAAATATAATATATATTTTCCTTCTATAAAATCACAGATCAGAAATAGTGTGGTCATACTGTAGAATTACAGTATTACAGTATTATGGCATTATGGTACTCTACCATAGTAATGGTATAAGATTTAAGTGCCATAAATATTATATACTATAATGCCGTAGTGCTGTAAATTTTGATAACTAAGAAAAAATTATTATAGTTGCACCTTCCTAAACATATTTTTATATAACTAATTTAAGTATAAATTGAATATATTTGTTTAATCGGTTCTGGTTTAATCTTAGCTTCCAAAATTTGGGTTTGATTATATTATTATTTTTCTGATCCATTTCATCTAACCAACAGATAATTTTTTCAATAATTTTTTTGCAGTAAATCATTTATCAAGATTTTTATCCATGCATCTCATAGCTAATTTAATATAACAATCTGGTTCTAACATTTAGGTCTTGATCCATTAATAATTTTTCTGATTTATTTTATCTAACTAATGGATGATTGTTTAAATAATTTTTTTGCAGTTAGTCGTTTATCAAGATTTTTATCTATACATTTTATAGCTAATTTAATATAACAATCTGGCCCTAATATTTAGGTCTTGATCTATTGATAATTTGATACAAGATTACTATTAAATGAAATTCCATCAAATGTTTTTGTATGATTGAATCCTCTTTTGCAATAACTCCAAGACTGTAAATATTTGATGCTTGGGTATACAGTTGATCCATCAAAACTTCAGGTACTATATATAGCAGAATTACACAGAATATTTATTTTAGAACACTAGATCAGTGACGTATACAAGAGTTTGCAAAATATTTCCACTATGTTAATCTCTGTGAATGAGTTCCTGCGAATAGATCAACTCAAGATCAAAAGCTATATATTGCAAGATACTTAATTTATCTTTTATTCTAATTGTGTTACTTTGTACAAGAATTTGCTTTAATGAACCTTATCCTGCAAAGTCCATAACAATAATATAATTACAATAGTCATTTCTTGGCACTCCAATACATTTCAAGAACGATGGATTTTCATAACAAATTTCATAATAATTACTCAATTCGTGAATAAATTTTTGCCCATTTTCATTTAAATCATGAATTACTCTAGATGTAACCAATTTGCTTAGTATACTTACTGAGCTTTGGTGAAATAGACCGTCAGTAAAATGAACTTTCGATGAATAATTGTTAGTACTTTCAAAAGACTTCAGTATTTTGTGAACTAATAATAATATCTCTTTTTATACTGATACCATTTCAATAAAACCTAGCAACATTACTTACTGCTCCATTAGCATCCAAATTAGTAGATTTTTTGCAATATTTAAATGCTTTATTATAATCTCGATTAACCCATTCTATTTTTATAAAATACACATTACAAAAGCATTATCGAAATCAGCCGATTGCTCATAATATTTATATGCTTTTTGATAATCTATTTCTACTCTAATTCCATGATGATAACAATAACCAACATTCTATATCGCAACTGGATTTCCTAACTCAGCTGCTTTCATAAAATATCCAAAAGCCTTTTTATCGTTTTTCTCATCACTAATATCTTGTCAACAATTGTAACCAAGTGTATGAAGTTGTCCTAAATCCTTTATTTTTTTTAAAAAAAAAAATTCACTAAATATATACTGTTTTTTTTAAGCTTAAAAAATATATTAAGCATTTACTTCTATATAGTCACACTATATATATTTTATATATTTATATAACTATATAGGGTGAACACTATATAATCACCCTCATTTATAATCACACTTTTGTCTCATACAAACTGCATGATTATAGAGAAGGATGACTGTATTAGCAGATAGTATATAAAAACTACTTTTAAATAATAGTTACTAACATAAAGTTTCTTTAACTTATTTTATAAACTACTTTAAAAGTTTTTAAAATTGTTTTAAAAATTTAATCTGAGTAACTACTTTATATTTTAATATTTTTAATTTTAATAATTTAGAAGAACTATGATTTGTCTTTAGTATATAAAGTTGAGTTAATAAAAAAAAACAAAATATTTTTAATAAAATTTAAAAAATAAATCTATATATCGCTACTAGCAATGTACTTATATATTGCATATATATATATTATATAATGTCTAAAATAAATTATGTTTTTGTTTAGTTAGAGTTAGTTAGGATTAGAGCGAGGTAAAAGTAGTGTACAGGCTAAAGTTAGGGTAAAATAAGCTTTATAATAAAATTTCGCAAAGAATTTTTTTGTTAAAATACAAAAGATAGTTTTATATATAAAATTTTGATTTTTGTCAAAATGAACGTTTGTTTTGAATTTATTCTGATTGTGCTATGTTATATTTAATCTTGAAATTTGATTGGTTGATCATTAAAATGTGATATATAAGCACATCGCGAGGTAGTGACACCTATTTAAGTTCAAATTTAAATTAAAAAAATATAAAAAAATATATAATTTTTGCTTATTAAGACGCTATATATTCTTTTCTCTTTCTCTATGTTATAGATAATTTGTTAATCAAAATTTATTTTTTAAATTTATTTTTTTCTTATTAATATATTATGTGATACAATTCTATATACTATTCTAAATACATATAGCTCAAATAATTTTTAACAACTATCTGTAATCTAAACTTATCAAAGCTTTCTATATTTCTACTGTACAGCTAATCTGGTTGTTGTATATTCCTATCCATCTCTAATTGATTTCCACATATTCTCTACTTTACCCACTTATATTAATTTTTAGTTATAATTTTTTTAGCAACTAATTATTCAAATTTTTACTATATATAAATATAATATTAGATTACAATATACTAAAATTTTATATAATTTGAATAAATAGTTTTTGAAAAATTAAAAGTAATTTTTTTAATAAAATTACTTAAGTTTTTAATTAATTTCTCAGGAACTACTTATTCAAATTGTATAAATTTCAATATATTATAATCTAATATTATATTTATTTATATTAAAAATTTTATCCAATTTGAATTATTAATTGTTAAAAAAAATATAGCTGGAGTTAATATAAATTTAAATATTTTATCAAGCTAATTATTTTGATAATAAAATATTTATTATTGAAAATTCTAACAATAATTTTAAACTTTTAATTTCAAATCAAATTAAATTTAAATTATTTAACTTCAAATTCAAATTAAGCAAAATTTTAAAATTAGATTGAGTTTGAGTTTAAGTTGAAATCAAACTTGGTTAAAGTTTGATTTAATTTAATTTGATAAAAACTCTATATATAATAGTAGTAATTTATTATAACAAATTAAAATAAAATCAGATTAAAATAAAATATTGTATATATATATATATATATATATAAAATGTAAAAAAATAAACAAGCCACCAAAAAAAAAAAAATTTTTGAGATATATTTTTTTAGAGGTTAGAGTTAGCTTTAGAGTAGATTTATAATAAACAAGTATAAATAGTTTTAGAGAGTCAAATAGAAATCTTCATTTCATTTTAATTTGAGGCTTTATTTCTAAAAAAACACACTATGCATCTTGTAAATTACTTGCTCAAAAATGAATTGTATTATCTTCTTCAATTAACTTAACACTAATAATTGCTAATATTTTCAGGACAATTTACACAGTGATTGGCCAAATATGCTTTCATAACTAGTGGTTTTTCACGTTCCCAAGCAGTTGGGTAATGATAACAAACCACTTTATAATGCCCATTACCTCTGTTAGGACCTCTTGTATAAAATGACCAAATTTCATCAAAGCTGGGGCTACTACAAATTTTGTTTTTTATTAGGTTGCGTTGAAACAGAAATATTATCTGAACTTTCACTTTCGTGATCCATGATATACAAAAAAAAATAATAAAAAACTTTATTATATACTATGGTATTTACATACGTCATAAGTCAATTACGTACACATAGTTTATTTGATTTATTATTATCATTATCACCAGAATTATGATCCAACGCATAAAATACTACTTACTACAATAATTACGGTCTATGACATAGTATTTTAATATGGCCGGAGTTACTGCCTACGCCAATACTACCAAAAAGTTGCAACTTCACAACTTTCAGTCGTAATTAATTACCTCAATGCAACCACACCACTAATCCCAAGATTTATCTCTGTGGTGGCGGTCTTTCTGGTACCTGATACATATCCCAGTCTGTTGTTTGCGAAATGTTCGTTTCGAATGCTGTAGGTTGCTGCTGTTGCTGCTGCTGCTGCTGCAGTTCCATAAATTGTGGTGTATGTTGTTGTTGTTGTTGTAACTGTTGTGCAGCGAACAACGCTTGTTGTTGTTGTTGCTGTTGTTGTTGTAAAAATTGTTGCTGTTGTAAATATGGATCTGGCTGTGCGGGTTGTCCGAATCCTCCAACTGTTTGTGTTGGTACAACATAACCAGATACATTTTGACCGAAACCGATCCCACCCATAGGTGTCCCAAACCCTTGTTGAGTTTCTGGAAATCCAATTGTATTTTGTCCAAAACCAGGTGTTCCAAACGTGGATGGTTGATTGGTATTAGAAGCTCCAAATGTGTTTTGAGGTGTTCCGAATCCCTGTGGCTGCGGTTGTCCAAATGCGCCACCACTACTACCAAATACTTCAAATGAGGATTGTTGCTTTTGCTGTTTTTGTGACTCGAATCTGTTGAGTGAATTACGCAAGTCTTTAAGACAAGAATCTATTTGCGTTTGCGTGCGATTTTCCAGATCCTTAACACCATTTTGCTATATGGTTTATAAAAATGTATTTTGAGATTATCTATGTCCTGCGGTATTGTGATCCTCTTGACTTCATTACTTGTCTCCGAAGAACTAATTGACGCAGTTTTGCAAATATAATGGAAGATAATTGGTACAAAAAATATCTCCAAAATACATACGTATTGTATATCATTTCCGACAGTTCCCATAATTACATAATATTGAAGTCGCAACTCTTCTGGTGAGTAGTCCGTACCATCTACTAGATTGGGTTCTTCTTTTCCTGGTCCATAGACCGAGTACCGAAATATAGGCCGGTCTTTGGTCAGATCTGTTCTTACACTCCTTTCACTATAAAATTATGTTGTATTTAAAAATATAAAGAACATTGAATATTGTGAATCAACGCTGTATTCCATAAATCTTTTAGAACATACTCGTAAGTTTTGTTATTATTTGTTGAACCCGAAACTATACAAAATCAATAAATAAGTACATAACACTATGAATCTGATACAATAAAAGTATAAAACATTTTTACTATTAACAGGCATCTAAAAGTTTTTTAAAGTTTTGTTATTCTCACCATAACTGATTCGATCATATATATCTGAACGTTGCGGATTGTTATAACGTGAATTTCCTCCGTATGATGGTTGACCCCGATGTTCGTTTTGACACTGGCTACCGAATTTGCAACGTCCTTCCAGGTAGAATTTACAAATCGTCATTTTTATTTGATTTTTTTTTTTCCTGGTAGATTGAATTTTAGAACAATGCACACTCGGACCTGTATTAAGAAAACGTGTGGCTAAAAGCTCAGCTATTTATATAGATCGATATGGACCAGATAATTAATCCAACACTGAATAATTCTTAAATGATTGGTCAATTTTTTACCTAATGTTTACAATCCATTTTTAAATGGCTTCGACATATAAATATATATATATATATATATATACAATATATATATAATAAGTATATATATGCTGTATAATCGAAATATTTTAGCGCAAATTCCGCAAATTCGGAATTCTGAATTACAGTCTATATGCGTACTGTTTAATTGCATATACGTACGGTACTTTGTTTACCAACTTGGATTTTTATATAATCTTTTATTTGTAAATGTGTACGTATCTACTACGTATACGTATTTAAAATTAATATACAAAAATGTAAATATATAATAACATTTATGAAAATATATTTTGTAAAGTAATTATATAATTAATTAATAAAATGTATACCGTATAGTTCCGAAATTAAGCACCCCCCGAAATTAAGCACCACCAAATTTTGTAAAATACCCGAAAATAAGC